CGGGCCAGACAGCTCGGCTTAGCTTGCCCCAGGCAGCTCGCCGTTTACGAGATAGCCCAGCACAGGGTATCTCGCGGAAGGGTAGTTCGGAATATCGCAGGAAGACCTCCTACCCGACCACCGTACCCGACAAATCTGGAGGAAGCAACCGTATCCCTCATCAGACAGCATCGTGCCCGCCATCTTCAGAATGTGCTTTACACCTGACAGGCACGTACCCTGCAGCGATGGCTCCCGCGCGTGCCACCTCAGCCCTACTAGTAACGGTTGCGGCAGGCTAACAGTGGCGGTTATACCTGCCCTGTCAGAGGCCAGTGGGCCGGATGTAACGGATTTCTACTACAAGGAGTTTAATATCAAGGAGGACAGGTATGATCAAGATCATCTTCTACACTCGCGCTATCTGCACTCTTAGCCCTCGTCTTCTCCTTGCTTCTCCTCCAGAGTACTAACTTAAGCATCAGAGTGTTCCCGCCGGATAAACCCCCCGGGGATTCTTCTTCTTCTCCACCTCAGGTATCTTCCAGGAGCCGCGTGAGTGCCAGCTAGGAGTGACCGGATCGCGCTATATCACAACCCACATTGTAATTTTATGCATTTGGGTTGGATTTGCGTTGGTCAATGAACCCCACTAAAATTATTTATATATATATATTTATGTATTTATGTATAGATGAAAATATGTACGCAAAATTTACACACATATATATATATATAGATAGATAGATAGATAGATAGATAGATATAGATATGTATGTACGAATGTGTATAATCGTAGCTATTTTAGTAAATTTTCACATAAACTGATAGGTATAAGAGTAAACTGGGGTATTTTGAAATTAATGCATTAGGCCAACATTCCCATTGGAGCAATGAGGAAATAAGGTAATAAATACCATTTTTTTTATAACTATTTTTGTTAAAATGAAAACTTGCAATTAGGAAATTAAGTAATAGAAGCTTAAAAAAAAAAAAAGAAAAACCACTAGGAGCTTTTTGTTAAAATGAAAACATAGGAGAGGTTCATATTTTACCCAGAAAAAAATTCTCTAGGTTTACATTTTCTTCTTTGTATTTTGATTAACCGCAACGAAAATATGATTAATAAGACCGGATTAGTGAAACCAATCACTATCCATATAAGAACATGTTAGGCAAAACTTGAGTTCAAATGGTAGATCCATATGCGATTAGCTAGAGTCATTGGAACTTTTTATTTAGGGATGCAAACAGATAGAATCGTACCCGAATTGGGGTATATCCCAATCTGATCTAATAGAAAATGCATATGATTTGAATTTGAATTTATTGGATTCTCTAATCCCTAATTCAAATTTGATTTATATAATTTTTATCAAATATTTGGAAAGGATTCAATTTGATTCAATATATGCAATGCATATACATACACAAACACACATTACATAATTTTAATGATGCATCATATTTTGTGATTCGATCTGATCCGAAAGATCTGGTATTCCACTTATCCAATTGTGGATAATATCCATTGGATTACAAATATTAATATTAATAAGAATTTGTTTAAAAATGGATGAAAAGAGTTAAAATAACTACATTTAGAGAATATGTAGCATTCTATAATGTGATTTTTTTTTCTTATTGCCATTTTTAAAAGGGAAAATCTATGATGCGAAAAAGATATGGTATGGGAAGAGTTTTGACCAATGAAAACCCATCAATGAATTTTGATAAATAACACCTAATTGGCTATCATGTTTATGATTTCAGTTGATTAGTCAGAAGTTTTTCAGGTACCATATCTTTTCTATATCATGGTCGAATCCTTTTTAAAATAGGAACCAAACAAATGTAATTGATTGTGTATGTATTTTCTGTTTTCCATACTAGAACCAAATACCCTAAATA